TTTGGCATTTTTGTCTATCTATCAAGTCCTTACCAAGGACCTGGGATAGGCAGATGTGGATGTTTGATGGTATTACAGATATCGTTGCAGGACGGAAGCAGTTCTTAGTAAGGCCGCCTTCTGCAATTGACTAATGGTGAATTTGTCAATGTCAATGGTGTTCAAGTGGTGCTCCAGTTGTTTTGGGATTGCTCCCAAGGCGCCTATTACTATTGGTACTACCCTTGCTTGTCTTTGCTACAGTCTTTCTATTTCTATTTGTAGGTCTTTGTATTTTGTTCTCTTCTCCAGTTCTTTCTCGTCTGTTCTAATGTATCCAGGCACTGCCACGTCCACTATCCAGACTTTTTTGTCTTTCTTATTGACAATTGTTAAGTCCAGGGTGTTATGTTGCAGGTGCTTGTCTGTTTGAATTCTGAAGTCCCAGAGCCGTTTAATTTTATCATTTTCTATGACTTTCTCTATTTTATGATCCCACCAGTTCTTGCTTACAGGCAAATGATATTTCTTGCAGATCTTCCAATGCAGCATTGTTGCTACTTTGTCATGCCGCTGCTTGTAGTCAGTCTGTGCGGTCTTCTTGCAGCAGCTTACCAGGTGGCCCACTGTTTCTTCAGCTTCTTTGCATAGGCGGCACTTACTGTCTGTTGCTGTCTTTTCAATTTTGTATGACTTTGTATGCATTTGTCCTTAAGGCTTGGTCTTGCACAGCCAGAATTAGTCCCTCTGTCTCTTTCTTCAATTTTCCTGCTCTTAGCCATTGCCAGGTCATGTTATTATCTGCTTTCCCAGCTATTTTTAAAATGTACTGGCCATGTAGTGCTTTGTCTTCCCATGCCTCTATTCTGTTCTTCATTTGGTCCTTCTTGTAGGCCAATTTGGTCTCTCCAGTAGTCAGTAAGCCTTCCTGATATACTAATAAGTCACGTAGAAGTAGTAACAGGAAGTCTATAAGAAGGTTTCGGTAAAAAAGAAGAAGTTGGTAGACTACATGAACGTCGTAAGGTGCGGGTGGATAAACGGAACCATCTATTTCAGACAGTTACAGTGACGCACCTACTTCCCGTACTAAGTAACAGTAATAATTTCTGGTCTTCCTATCCATTGCTTTTAGTTCTGTTTAGGTCCAGTCCGCTATTCCAGCTGTGTATCTAATGACTGGAATTGCCCAGGTGTTGATTGCCTTCATGGTATTTCCTCCATTGAGTTTGGACTTTAAGATCTTCTTCACTCTCTTGATGTATTCATCTCTAATCTTTTTCTTGACTTCAGTGTGCTTGATGTTGTCAGCTTGAAGGATACCCAAGTATTTGTAGTAATCTTCCTCATCCAGACTCTTAATGTTATTTTCGTGGGGCATCTTGATTCCTTCAGTTTTCACTATTTTTCCTTGTTTGATAGTTTGAAGTGTGGCACATTTGTCCAAGCCAAACTCCATTGCAATATCTTGGCTATATATATGGACAATGTTGAGCAGCGATTCTATTTCAGATGATGTTTTTCCATACAGCTTCAGATCATTCATGTAAAGGAGGTGGGATAGTCTGGCAGATGTTTTTGATGTTTGATAGCCATGTCCTGAGTTATTCACTATTGTTGACAGAGGAAACAGTGCAATAACAAATAGTAATGGTGATAATGAATCTCCTTGAAATATTCCTCTCTTGATATTAACCTCTCCCAGTCTCTCACCATTGACCTGCAACTGTGTCTTCCATTGTGCCATCGATCTTTGCACAAATTTTCTGATGTTTCTACTGACTCCTATTATTTCTAGGCACTTGATTATCCAGTCATGTGGCAGAGAGTCAAATGCCTTTTTGTAGTCAATCCATACCACATTCAGGTTGGTCTTCCTTTTCTTGCAGTTTTCCAAGATCATTTTGTCTATTAGCAATTGATCTTTTGTTCATCTGCTATTGGGGCAGTTTCCTTTCTGCTCAGGTGGAAAGAGATTGTTTTCAACTAGATGCTGTTGTAATGCATCAGCTACCACACCAGTTAGCAATTTGAAAGTTGTTGGTAAGCAAGTAATTGGCTTGTAATTGCCTGGTGTTGCCCCTTTTGCTGGATTTTTCATTATTAGGTAGGTTTTCCCAGTTGTTAGCCACTTTTCAATTTCTCCTCCTTGTAGTATATATTGTTGAACTGCTTGGCAATGAGTGGGTATATAACAGTTAGATGTTTCAACCAAAACCCATGCAGTTCATCTTCACCTGGTGCTGACCAATTTTTGATCTTCCTTGCTCTTTTTTCTACCATTTTTGTTGTTATTACTAGTTTTTTCATTTCAACTTCTGTTTTATTTGCATCCAGTTCTTTTAACCAAACTGCATCGTTGTTGTATTTCTTTGGGTTATCCCATATCTGCTTCCAGAACTGCACTGTTTCTTCCTTGTCAGGTACTGACTGATTCATTGCAGTTTCTCCATTGATGGATTGGTAGAAACGTTTCTGATTGGATTGAAACTGGAATTTGCAATTCGAACATCGTATCTACTGATTTTCCTGGCTATAGCTGTTATTTGCTGCTTTATTATTTCCAATGCTTCCTTGATCTTCCTTGTTTCTAAGTGGTATTTCTTGATAAGGCATTATTTGGTCATCTTGTTCTTCAGTTTCTTTTCTTTCATCTGTTCTAGCTTGCTTGCATGTGATCATAACTTGCTGATCTTATTTTCTAGTCTAACCTTCCATTTTTGTGGTGCACTGTTTATTTGTTTTTCTTTGTTGATTTTGCATCCCAGGTATTCAGTTATAACTGCAGCTGTGCTGTACATTAATTGGTTTGTTTCTTGCAGTGAATTGGTGCTTATACTTGATATTGCAGTATTTGCATTTTTTAATGCTTGTGTTAGCTGTTTCTTTGGAACAAGCTTCAATGCAGGCAGCCTTATTCTATTTTTTTGTGCTGTTCTAGATGCTCAGTTCTTCTTTGTTTCAATTCTTTTATTTCTTTAGTTAGAGGGTTTTGTTCTTCCTGAGGAAGAGGTGCCTGGTTTCCAAATGAGAACAGTTGCATATCTCTGCTGGATTTCTGTAGTTTGCCTCTACATTCTGAATTACTTCTGGCAAGGCTTTGATTTCTTTGCCCTGGGTAAACCTTTGCAGTTCATCCAATTCTGTGAATACTTTATTTCGTATTATAAATCGGCGTTGATCTGCTAGTCTCTGTTCTGTTATTTCTGATTCTGGATGTTGTTCTTTCCAGAACTGGTGCATTCGTTTTAGATATCCTCTTCTTGTTGGACTTAATCTGTAGGTAGATCATTATTTCTTTGTTTTCAATCACTATGTATTTGCGACGGGTAAACACCTTTTCTTCCAGTAGTTCTGCAGCTGCTGGCCCTGGTTGCTCAGCCAACAGTCCTGAGTCTTGTAACCCATTTTTCACCAGATATCCAGGAACCACAATATTTAGCGCGGACCTTGTTAACACAGGCGACATCCAAGCCAGTATGGCTTTCTGAAATTTACGTCTCACCATATTTTTTATGGGAGAGACACTCCTTGTCTGAGTCCTCTGATGAGACCTGTCCAGTATGGTTGAACCTCTGGCATAGCTCTCATCTTCCTCAGAGTACACAAGCCCCACAACCATGTCAAGGTAGTGCCTCACTGGGGGATGATGATGATGATGATGATTTAGTGACTGAAGTTACAATAGCACTGAAAAAAAGTGACTTATGATCCTTTTTCACATTCACGGCCTTTGCAGTATCCCCATGGTCATGCAATCAAAATTCAGATGCTTGGCAATGGACTTATATTTATGACGGTTGCAGTGTCCTGGGCTATGTGATCATCTTTCAACAGCCTTCTGACAAGCAAAGTCAATGGGGCAGCCAGTTTCACTTCATAACTGTATTACTAACTTAACCTCTGCAGGGGTTCACTTAACAACTGCGGCAAGGAAAGTCGTAAAATGGAGCAAAATTCACCTAACAACTGTCTTGCTTAGCAACAGAAATTTAGGACTCAGTTGTGGACGTAAGTCGAGGACTACCCGTAGTTATGTATTAGCACTGGAACTATCACTTTGTCCTGATTCATGTATATATGTATCTGTGTACTTCTATGGCTGTAGGGGCCTGCTAGGTGTTTCTATGCCTTGCTTTTCTACCATGAGATTCCTCCCTTCTCCTAGCCCATCACACTAGCTTTCTAGTAATTGTTAAAAAATGCAAATGACTCAAAGCTTTGTGCTCATCCATGTTCATCTGTTACATTTCTCAGGCTTTACTGAAATCACTGAAGCAGGATAGGGAATTCACTCTGAAAAAATAGTACCCTAACACAGAAACTGCTGTTTGCATGTCAGCGCACATTCTTACTTGAGAAGTGTAATTGTGGCTTACAAAACTGGAGAATGAGTCAATTGATTCACACACACACACAAAAATCACTCCCACACTTCGTTGGTGTTATTGCCACTGGCTGCCAAAATTAAAAAAATATATATTTGGGTGATAGCAAAAAGGCCATTTATTGGAATAAACCAAAAGTGTTAATTCAAGCTCTGTGTTTCAGAGCAGTTTCATACATTTCCCTTGTTAAAACTTCTTTTGATGACACTTCTAATTTTGGTTGAGTATGTAGCAGTCCGACTAAGCTGTTAATTGCCCAAAGAAACAGTGATTTTTAAAAAATGAACTATCATAATGAGAAGCAGCTAAATACTTGCAAAGGTGCAAGAATTAATGTGACTGTGATTTTGCTACCTTTAAATACGTACTCTGACGGCAAACCTGTACTCATTCTTCTAAAAGCAAATTCTTTAGAATTTCCTTATGAATAGTCAATTTATAGGGTTACATTTAATTATCCTGGGGAAAAAATATTTGGATTGTAATATTTCACACACAAAAAACCCCCTTGGCATCAATTCTTTTCCTCATGCTGTAATAGTCAGGAGTCACCAGAATTTCAGAAGATTTTATGCAGAGGTTTGTTGCTAAACTTTCTTAGTTTAATTTAAGTTAGTCCGATGCATTACATACCAGGAAACGGTACATTAGTGGCAGAGTTTTCTGCTCCTTCAGTGGGAATCCCCAGTGTCTGAAGAGTATGTTCTGCTGCATATGTTTTGGCTTCATCTACATAGGCACTTAGCTTTGGTGGTGTGAAGGGATGTCTATAAAAAAAAGCAGCAAATATTAATTGCTTTGATCTTCTCAAAGTTAGTACTTTTGGGAACAGTCCCTTGCATTCCTCCTCTGGCTGAATCACTGACCAGCTTAAAATAATTTAACAATTTAATATAATCCTACATTAATCAATAGTGCCTGCAAAATAATTGATAACAGATATCAGTTTGTAAATTATTTCACCATGAAATGTAAATGTAATCTTGTATATTTTTAGTACACTTTGGAATGTCACTAAAGAAAGGATTTTTTTTTCTCCTGAAATGCATTGGATCTTAGTCAGCATTGGCACTTCTGATTTTAAGTGTTTCTCTTCTCAGTCTTTGCTGTTTTCAAAGCTTTTTTGTTGTGGCTTTTTGTTAATCCTTAATTTAACCAGAGAAAAGAGTTAGTGGGTATGGGATAGTATGTCAGAGCTTATTTTTCACCCTCTGGGGCTCCTGCTTCTGCTTTTAGAGTTCATTGTATGACATTGGGTATGTCTAGTTTAATGAAGAGAAGGACGAGGGGGGATATGATAGCAGTGTTCCAATATCTCAGGGGCTGCCACAAAGAAGAGGGAGTCAAGCTATTCTCCAAAGCGCCTGAAGGCAGGACAAGAAGCAACGGATGGAAACTAACCAAGGAGAGAAGCAACCTAGAACTAAGGAGAAACTTCCTGACAGTTAGAACAATTAACCAGTGGAACAACCTGCCTCCAGAAGTGGTGAATGCTCCAACACTGGAAGTTTTTAAGAAGAGACTGGACATCCATTTGTCCGAAATGGTCTAGGGTTTCCTGCCTGAGCAGGGGGTTGGACTAGATGACCTCCAAGGTCCCTTCCAACTTATTATTATTATTATGATGATGATTATTATTATTATTATTATTATTATTATTAATCATCATCATCATCATCATCATCATCATCATCATCATCGCACAGTCAGCCAGATATTCAAACTGGATTTGGCATTTTGTCTACCTATCGAGTCTTTACCAAGGACCTGGGATAGGCAGATGTGGATGTTTGATGGTATTACAGATATCGTCGCAGGATGGAAGCAGTTCCTAGTAAGGCCGCCTTTTGCAATTGACTAATGGCGAATTTGTCAATGCCAGTGGTGTTCAAGTGGTGCTCTAGTTGTTTTGGGATTGCGCCCAAGGCACCTATTACTATTGGTACTATCCTTGCTTGCCTTTGCCTCAGTCTTTCTATTTCTATTTGTAGGCCTTTGTATTTTGTTATCTTCTCCAGTTCTTTCTCATCTATTCTGCTGTCTCCAGGCACTGCCACGTCCGCTATCCAGACTTTTTTGTCTTTCTTATCGACAATTGTTAAATCCATGGTGTTATGTTGCAGGTGCTTGTCTGTTTGAATTCTGAAGTATTATTATTATTATTGTTGTTGTTGTTGTTAAATCATAAAAGCAGCATTTAGTGGAATTAGGAATTCCACTGAACAATAAAATTAGATACAAAATAAGATTAAGTGCCAGAATACCAACAATGATGAGAAAACTTCCCCATTTAGGTAGGAGTCTTAAACTGAGCCATCATTTCTACATAAATAGCCATGGAGAATCCATATGCCTCAATTTATCAGGCTACATGGCACAGATACTAAACCATGCAGAATTAGTTTAGCACTGTAGGATTCTTGGCTCACTGAGAATCCATTTGGCTGTGTAGGTTTTAGATTTTATGAGGAACATATGGACCTCCAGATATTGATGAGATGTAAGGCCAAGCATCCTTCATCTTTGGCCATGCTGGTTGGGCTATTAGAAAGCACCCACTTCTCTGATTTATATTTAAATGTCATTTATGTTCTAATCTAGTCTACACAAACACATACACAGTTGTAGATAGACGTATGTGTATCAATGTATCTAAATTCATCTTTATTTATTCTGAAACCTAAACATCAAAAATCTTTGTTTTTTTAAAAAATGGAATTTCAATATAGATGCTGCTGCAGCTGCTCTTCCACATCCTTCTAATTCTTTTGCAATTTCAAATTATCCAGGGATTGTAATGGTTTATTTACAAAACCCCTCAACCCTAGTTAAGCCCAGTGGCTATAATAGCTACTTACATTGTAGGATTCTGAGTGGCGAGGGCAGGGATATTGATTTTATATAAGAAGAGTTGTCTTTGGTTTTGTCCAACGGCAGAATAAAGTTGGTAAACAGGTTGTCCCCAGTTATTCTTCTGGCAGATTTCTTCTAATATCTATAATGACAAAATGAATCTAATGACATTCCCACCATGTATGGAGCAACATTATGCAAATCACAAAAGAAGTGAGTAGGCAGGTGATAAGGACACAGAAAAGTCTACCTAAATCTACTTGACACTATACCTTTCTTCCATAATTTTCTATTTGTGCAAGCTGCCCTTCTTCCATCTCAGGCATACATTGATTCATATATTGCTTTCCACCTCTAATCAGTTCCGATCCATTCTCTCTTCCTTCATGCATTTGTTTGGCAAATCAGGCCTCAATCATTTTCTGGTCCAAACTATTTCAACCTACTTCTCTTGTGTTGATCACCCTTTTCTCTATTCTGTGTACTTTCATTTAGCTCCCATTCATTTGGACCTCTTTTTGTTTTATCACATATGTTTTTTAAGATCCCATTCCTGTCTCATTTGATTTTTCTGTGTCTCCTGACACGCCCATTTCCATATGACAAAGAGGGTAGAAGTATCCTCTTATTCCTAGCCATATAAGCATCTCTTCACACAGAAGGCTTCATGCTGTCTGCAACCTATCTAAGTTCTTTAAAATTTCTCCATTCATTTTCTTATCTTTAATAAATATTCTATCAAGGTACATAACTTTGTTTTATTAAATATAGTGACTCTAAGTGGAGTCACTTTACAATAAAAACAATCATAAAATCAAAACCAAAAAACTGGTCCAGTTAAAATGCTGTATTAAGGCAGGGGGGGGGGGACTCCAGTACCAATGTTTCTATAGGCATGGAAACCAACAGGATGACCTGGGTCAGTCACTCTGTTTTAACATTAAACTGGGAAACCAGAAAGCATCCTGGAAAAAGGCAGTGTAGTAGGAAAACCACCATTGCAATCTTGCCAAGAAAACTGCATGGACTTTTCCATAAATCCGACTCAATGACTTAAAACAAAATGAAATAAAAATCTTACAAACATTTGCTCCATTTTCTCTGCCAAGCATAAAATACCTTCACCTTTGGTAAAGAGTTTTCTGATCTGTACAAACTATTGTTTACTATTGTTTATTTGGGTTATCAGTTAATAACATGGCATTGTTCGTGCAGAAAAGGATACATTTTCACAGATGACTTCCTATAATCTGACAGTATATCCAGCATAATCTGATTGTGCATGAAAGGAGTTGGGAAGCAATGTTACTAATATAGGAATGCTGTTCCATGTCAAAACTGTGTGTAGTGAAATCAAATACAATACACCCCTCCCCAAATGCTCAGTCTGCAAAGATTTCTTACAGGAATGGTAAAGGTAGTAACAAGAGTTGAAACATTTCCTTTACATCTGTTTTACCCACCTGTGGAGCAAGTTTAATTCCTTGTGGCTTTAAACTGACGTGATTCATTGGCGTAAGCTCCATTCCAGGCAAAAGGTCATAGAGTTTGTCCTCCCCTCTTTTTTCTCCTTTCAGCTGGTATCCACGACCCAGGGCAGGGTTAGCCAAGTAGCCTCGACCGCCTAGTCCTCTAATTCCAGCAGCCCCTACAGGTACATTCATGTAAATTTCTAGGAATGTAAGAAGGTATTGAACTGAATCAAATCACAGGAAAATCTTCCTGATTCTTACAGTATTGGAAGGCTTGATTGCACATGCAGGCTTAATGTGGAGTTTTGATGTGAGAATTAAAAGTGGGTAACCTTTTACTGCAGAATCTTCAAACTTGGCCCTTTTATGACTTGTGGACTTCAACTCCCAGAATTCCTCAGCCAGAATTCTGGGAGTTGAAGTCCACAAGTTATAAAAGGGCCAAGTTTGAAGACCCCTGTTTTACTGAGTCTCAAATAGCCAAGGGGAAGAACCAAACTTCAGCAATCTTAGGTAGCAGGTCTATAAACTATTTAGACCCGTGTTTCTCAACCTTTTCAACTTTAACATGTGTGGACTTCAAATCCCAGAATTCTCCAAGGGAATTATGGGAGTTGAAATCCATCTATCTTAAAGTTGATACAACTGAGATACAATCTGGTGCGTATTTCAAGAGAGCAAAATTCTGTAGAATGCAGCACAGTTTTAATTACAAATAAATAGGTATTACATTAGATTCTTCATCTATTACAGGGGTCTTTAAACTTGGCAACTATAAGACTTGTGGACTTCAACTCCCAGAATTCCTCAGCCAGCCCTGGCTGGCTGAGGAATTCTGGGAGTTGAAGTCCACAAGTCTTAAAGTTGCCAAGTTTGAAGACTCTTGATCTATTATAACATTATAATCTATTATAAGTTTCAACTGACATTATTTTTAGTATTTTAATAGAATGTATTTCATTGAGAAGTAGCAGTACACAAAGCACAACCTCTATTTATTGTCCTTGAAATGAAGAGTGATAATTTACAGCAATGTGCACAGCTAACAGTAGGATTTTATTGTGAATTGGGATGTATCATGTGGGTTTCTAATTATTTTTAGTCTTTGTAAGTTCACCTCACAGATGTTGGGTATCCTAGGTTTTTATTTAAACATATTTCAGGCTAAAAAAAGACATTGAACCTGGGAATTGCAATCTTCTGCAAGGGGCAATCACAATATTAGTTTACACATTGTATATTTTCTGCACTGAATTTCTATTTATGTCATTATTAATGTAACACAGGCCTTCCCGTTTTCCCTTTCATTAAATGCCTGAAGACTCAGTGACTGAATGTCTTGGACTAATTCTAAATCACTTTCTTATTTGCTCTTTTCTCTGCAGTTATTATTTTCATTTTTTTCTTGGAGCCAATTCCAGGAGGATTTTCATTTATAGGTAAAAAGCAGGGGCACCAAAGCCACAATTGCTATAGAGATTGGGAAAAAAAGAGAGATTTAAAGTTAAGCTTTTCAATTTTAATCTATAATTTTGACATGATTGTTTTACTGACCTTATCCCTATCACACATTGGAATTAGTTCATTTTGTTAGCATTTGGGATGGTTCACACATCCATGTATATCACTTGATATTTCCTCGCTGAATTTCTTAGTCTCCAGAAAGAGATGTTTGATTTCACTACCATGGGCACTTTTTAGTTCATTAAGGTTTCCATCAAAGGCAAATCAAGAGAGGTGTAGTTCAAAACTGAATAGTCTGTTCTATTCCTTTAAGCAGAACTTCATGCTCTATCAAATGACCCAAATCTAAGAAAGAGCCCTGGTGGGGCAGTGGTTAAAGTGCAGTATTGCAGGCAAACTCTGCCCACAACCTGGAATTTAATCCTGATGGGGTTCAAGGCTGATTCCATGCTTCTGAGGTCAGTAAAATGAGGACCCAGAGTGCTGGAGGCAATATGCAAATAATGCTTCAACATTGGAAATCGCCAAGAGAGTGCTGCAACGTGTCTAAATGCTTTTGCTAAATACAGTTGCTACTTGCTTGTAGAGTTGCAAAAGAATTCTGTTATGAATTCTTCATAGACCAGATTTTGACTCAATATTCCTGTAAGCAATACAATTGATACTCTGAATGAGATAACCTTTTTAAATTAAATCTCAGTCATACATTTTAGCCTTCTCTAATTTGTGCCTTTATATTGAACTAAACCCCTTATAACAGCCACTTGGCATTGGCATATTGACTGGAAATTTGGGAGCTGTAATGTAGTTTAAATATAGCAGATTTAAATTTGGGAGCTCTAATATAGTTTTAAAATACCAGATTGGAGAAAGGTCATATATCACAACACCCAAGATTCTTTTGGCCATATATTTCATTCATATACATGTCAATTAGTCGGGCTAATTTTATTTTGAAGAGCAATACAGGTTTCCTTAAAGATATTTAAATAAAATGGGTGCATATGTGTAAGAGAGGGAACATGGGTATTTATTAAAGCGAACCATTCCATATCAGAATGTACCTGTCAAAAAGAAAAATAATGAAGAACAGTTCAACCAGGTAACAACACTGACACGTTTCACATTGCTCAATAGAATTACCTCTAATGGATGAAGGCCTAATAATGCCTCTGTTGGTGAGATGGCCTTTAGCAGCAGGAAAATGAAGGCTGGGAATGGCAGCATAGGCTTGTGGTGCATAGAAAACTGGAGCTCCTAGATAAGCTGTGGCAGGATCATAGACATGGCCAAAGGTGTAAGTAAATTCTGGCAATGCTGCTCCTCGTCCCCCTGTACCTCTGGTGTATCTAACATAACTGTCTTTGTCAACTGGCTTTGCTAATGTGACTTCAATGGGAGAGCCATCCAACACCTTGAAGATGAAAGAGAACACAAGGAAGATATATGAGATATCATTCATCTTGATCATCATCACTCTAGTCATTGTCTATCCACTGCAGGATGAAGGCCTCTTCTGCATGTTTCCAACCAGTATGGTCTTGAGCTATCTTTTGCCAATTCAGCACATATCTCATCCTATATATGAGATATAGGATGAGAAAAATAAATAATTTATAAAATACTAAATACTAACCCATACATACACACATATACCAAGGGGTCATAGGAATGAAAGAAATGCCTCTTTTGGTATGTACAGTAGCTCATTTGCAATTATAGTTTCTGAAAATATTTCCTTGTATACATATAGGTAGTCCTTGACTTATGACCTCAACTGAGCCCAAATTTTCTCTTGCTAAGTGAGACATTTGGTAAGTGAATTTTGTCCCATTTTACAACCTTTTCTAGCACAGTTGTGAAGTGAATCACTGCAGTTGTTAAGTTAGTAACATGGTTGTTAAGCGAATCTGGCTGTCCCATGGACTTTGTTTGTCAGAAGGTCGCAAAAGTTGATCACATGACCCTGGGACATTGCAACAGTCATAAATATGAGTCAGTTGCCAAGTGTCTGAATTTTGATCACATGACCATGAGGATGCTACAATGGTCATAAGTGTGAAAAATGGTCATAAGTCACTTTTTTGTGCCATTGTAACTTCAAATGGTCACTAAGCAAACTGTTATAAATCGAGGACTACCTGTACTGTAAATCTGGATTTACTGGCATACAGATTTGGTACCCCTGTATGAAAATTGTCTACATAAGTGGGGCAAGACTTGCAGAGATGTTTGAAGACCAGCAGGAGAGGTACATCATGACACACAAACACATGGATACAGACACACACACAGAGAGACACAAACAGACATAGGCACACACACACACACACGTACACACAGAGCTCACTTGGTATTTTTGAAAACAAATTGTGTACAGTTGAAATGGACTAGTTTAGACTAGTATTTTGCTACTTGAACATTTATGGGATTATAAATAATGCAGTTGCTTTTGGTTGGCTTAATGATTTATCAGGCAGCTCAAAATCCAAAGAACAATGAACCACATATTTCATAGTAGAAAAACTGCTGGAGTGCAAAATGAAGCAATTCACTTCAGATTCTCTGCCAAGCCTTTTATAGTGCACATTATTTGTGTGCACTATACCCCAACAGCAGTGTTACCAGTATCAGAACCAACATTATGAATCATATTATGCAACATGCATGCAACTCTCTGTCTGCCTTCCAGCAACTGCAGAACTAATCCATCATTACCTTGCCATTTAAGATGTTCATGGCTTCCAAAGCATCTTCTCGATTATTAAAGTGCACAAATGCATAGTCTCTAATTTTCTTCACACGTTCCACTGAACCTGTAGTAGAGATTTGGAAGATAGACCTGTTGTATGCATGTTGGTACAGTAAAAGGCATATACTTATGCTCTGCCTTTAAGCTGGGATCTCATACTTGAATTTTAAATTATGATTTTTGTGCTGCATGTGATTAAATCCTGGCAATATAAACCACGAACCATAATTGCACTGTTTGAATCTCTACTAGTTTAAAAGTTTTGTACTATTTTCCCCCTTTGGTATATTTAGCAGTTGCTGCATCCAAAAGGGAATTTCCTTTTGTGTGTCCTGTTCTACATAGCAAGAAGCAACATGCCATCATATCAATCCTGTCACAGGTAATCCTTGACTTACAACCATTCATTTAGGGATGGTTCAAAGTTACAATGACATTGAAAAAGTGACTTACAACCATTTTTCACACTTACGATCATTGTAGCATCCCCATTGTTCACATGATCAAAATTTGGATGCTTGGCAACTGATTCATATTTATGATGGTTATAAGTCGTCGGGGGTGTGTGTCATCTGATCACCTTTTGTGATCTTCTGACAAACAAAGTCCATGGGGAAGCCAGATTCACTTAACAACTGCATTACTAACTTAACAACCACAGTGATTCACTTAACAACTGAGGTAAGAAATGTTGTAAAATTGGGCAAAATTCACTTAACAAATGTTTCACTTAGCAACGTCACTTTTGGGCTCAGTTGAGGAATACCTGTACAGCTCATTACTACCAGGCTGTGTTGTGTAGGATAGGCAATTGTTTTGTGTCATTCACATGATATTAGAAGCCCATACACTGTTGTATTCCATTTAGAATTTTTCTCATCACTTTTGGGGTTGTTTTTATTTTTTAGAAAAACATCTAATAAAGTGGGAAAGAAGGACTACTGTAGTTACACATTGCAGCTTTCTGACAACACTAGGAGCCCTTTATTTGAGAGAAACTTGAGTAGTAGCAAAGCTTTATTGATTTCTTAGTTGGTTTAGAAATGTCAGAGCTTTCCTGCAAGTGATGAACAGGAGAGGTTAGAACTTGATGCAATCCATATATTGATGGCAATGAAGTTTAAATCTCCATCTGAGAATGTTTCAGCTGTTCCTGTAGATGTTAAAGAGCACGGTGCATAAATCTGAACTCTCTATATAAACAGTGGTCAAAGGGATGAGCAAAAATCACCCAACATAACTACCTTATAATTGCTGGCTTGTTCTGTTACTTTTTCTTTTGAGTAATAACCAATTTACAGGCAATTTACACTTGCCAGCAAAAACTGGCATCTTTCTCACATCTCCCTTGTTTGCCTACTTTTATACAAAAGGACTCTGGTGCCAGCTATTCATTAAGAAGTGCTTGAAAAGTATTGGCATCAGACCTTAAAATTTTCAAATACTCTTAACTGCTGAAAATTTTTGGTGTTCTTTAAATGTGTGGATATAAGGAAATTCCTTACTTGATGTTTTTGAATTTACAACATTATATGGCCGTGTGGAGAGAAGGTTTTCACCCTCTGCCTCAAAAACTCTGAGAGTGAATGCAGGCCTCAGAATTAAATTACTTTATAGAGAAAAGTTATAATGGAGACCAGCTTGAAACTTAAATGCAGATACATTGAACATAGAACAGAGAATAACAGAGTTGGGAAGGACTTTGGATGTCATCTAGTCTAATCCCGTGTGCAAGCAGGAGACCCTATGCCATTTCAGACAAATGGCTGTCCAGTCTCTTCTTAAAAGCCGCCAGTGATGGGGCACCCACAACTTCTGAAGGTAAGACATTCCACTCGTTAATTTTTCTCACTGTTAGGAAATTTCTCCTTAGTTCTAGGTTGCTTCTCTTCTTGATTAGTTTCCTGCCCTCAGGTGCTTTGGAAAATAATTTGACCCCCTCATCTTTGTGGCAGCTGCTATCTTATCTCCCCTAGATCTTCTTTTCACTAGACTAGACATACCCAATTCCTGCAACCATATGTTTTAGCTTCCAGACCCCTAATCATCCTTGTTGCTCTTCTCTGCACTCCTTCCAGAGTTTCAACATTTTTTATATGTTATGGTGACCAAAACTTGATTCAGTATTCCAAGTGTGGTCTTACTAATGCTTTGTAAAGAGGTACTAATAATTCATGTGATCTTGATTCTGTCCCTCTATTAATGCAGCCTAGGATTTCATTGGCTTTTTTGGCTAATGCCGCATACTATTGGCTACTATTTAAGTAATTATCCACATGGACTCCAAGTAGACAAAAATGCTAAAAGAAAGACATCCTTCCAATGAAGCCTGTAGTATATGCATATGTAGTATTGAGCATACCATGGTTCACTCATGTAAACCTCTGCCTTGTGGGCTACACATGCTTCTGGATGCAATTCAAGATGTGCATTTTTAGATGTGAAGCCCACATGGCAGGGAGTCAGGTTATTTGAGCGACCAATTATCCCTGATGGTCTCTATCCATTTTGCTATCCATGTTGCATCCCCAGGTCCCCTTGGTGAAACAGTGTTACCTGCTGAGTCCCAGGAAGTGTGACTTTTCTGACATGGCACCTGCCCTCCAGAAATATAGAGGCCTCAGCCCTGTTGGCTTTTGGGAAGACCAGGAAATCCTGGATCTTCCCTCAGGCTTTGATGCCAGAATGCTAATTATGGGGATTCTGGTTTGTGTGCATCCACATTCTATGTGATCTGAGATTTTTCTGGGTGGGTGGGTGGAGGCTTGACTTACTTCTTTGGGTTTCTTTTGAGGGGTTTTATGACTGGTTGTTTTTATTTTGTTCACTATCCAGGGTTTCACTGGATATATGAACAACTGTAAAAATTTGATTCATAAATAAAGCACTTGTTTTTTGAAAATATATCTGCATATACAAATTCTCTAACATAAGATTTCCAAATTGCTTGAAGTTGCATGCCTCTGGCTATGCTGTAGTTCAATCAGTGAGGAGCACAACTCACTTTGATACTGTGACTTATCACTGCACTTTTGTTGGGACAGCAAATGTTCCACAGCATGACTTTGGCCATAATTATTAAGAATTTGGGAAATTCACAATAATGTTTATTGATTGGCAGCTTGATTATCTACTATTCTTGCAGGAAATTCAAAACAACGCACTGATTTTTTATGCATACAACATGCCTGTGAGCTTGGTTAGACGAAGAGATTATGTGTGGTTGATATCGCCAATGAGTAGGGATTTGAAAGGGGGAGTATACACATCATTTACTTAGTGTTGTGGCTGGTTACTGAAGTATGAACTTCAGTTCTGCATAGGAAAATTATGGTTTGTGAGTCTTGAAGAACAAATTTATTTAAGAATTCTGGAATGCACCACTTAAACATTGATTTTGATGTTCATTTGAGCAAAACTTAGTGGTGTTTTAGATCAATTTTAAACAGTTAACTACATTATGAGCCTGTGTTAATCCAGATGTTTTAGACTACCTATTAGCCACAGTTAGCATGGTCAACTGAAGATGTAATTTATTCCAACAAATATTGTTTGTGGACAGTAAAATAGTTCTTTCTTACTTTTAGTTTTTTGGCATTCATACAAATTAAAAATATTTCAATTGTAATTAGTATTTTTTTAGATAAATGGTGGATTTATTTATTAAACTTCCTAGCTGACTACAATATTGACCAAGCTGTTTTTTTGTTTTTTGTTTACCTGGCTTAATGTTGTTGAATTCTTTTTCAATTGTTTCTTCAGTAGTAGATAACATAAGATTTCGCACGTAGAGGATTTTAACGGATGACATTGTATCTTCATCAACCTCAACTTCTGGTTCTGCCCAATCTACAGCAATCGGATGTCCCCATAATTGTATCCGTCCTTCAATGTAATTGGAAGTAAAATAAGTGTAAAAAGTGAAAGCATCTTTACTGAAGGAGATAAGAAGATTTGTGTTGAAGAGATGCATCGGTAAACTGAATTTATGCTACAGTATTGTAAAAGATATTGTTGATTGAAAAGGACAAGGAAAAAGCAGATTAGGAATTTTTTTATATTTCCCATACTTTATAGTTTAACTATCAATCTGAACCTTCCTAGAGTCTATACAGGGAGTCCTCAACTTTCAACCATTTAGTGGCTGTTCAAAGTTGTAGCATCTCTGTAGTCACCTTTTATGTCCTTCTCTCATGTGATCATCTTTTACGACAAAATCAATAAGGGGAGCCAGATTCACTTAACAGCCACGTTACTAACTTAACACCTGCAATGATTTACTGAACAATTTTGGCAAGAAAGATTGTAAAATAGGGCAAAAGTCGCTTAACAACTTTCTTCCTTAGCGATGGAAATTTTGGGCTCAGTTGTGCTCGTAAGTCGAGGACTGTAATAGTTTGAAACAGTTTTGCTACTGTAACTCTTCATCTTGTGAGGGTTGGGAACTGGATTTTGTGAGCATGTTGCTATTATATTTAGCTTCATATCTTATGTTAAAGGAAAGTGTTTTTTCCTTGAATGAGATTTAGCATGCAGCTTCCTCCCTCCCACTGAGATACCAAAATTCAGTGAGAAAAGGGGGATGAATTTTGACAAGATATTTCAAGCTGTTATCAGGGCTAGGTGCTTTAAGGATGGTTATCAAGCTGTTATCAGGGCTAGGTGCTTTAAGGATTGGATGGGAACAGTTAGTCTTAAAGAGGCTCCAAATCTCACCTGCATCCAAGTGACAGGGGTGTGACAATGACATAAACAGACTGAAAAAAAATAATCCCTTTTCCATTTGGTGGGTCCTGGACATCCTCCTGGGGATCTCCAAAGTATCAGAAGACTGGAACTCCTGACCCTCCAAATGCTTGGCCCAATTTACTATATAAAGAAATATCTTTCAACTTAGACAATTTGAAAATATGTGAACTTCAACCTCCAGATCCCCCAATGTGGCTGGGGAATTCTGGGAGTTAAAGTCCACATGACTTCATATTTCAAAGATTGAGAAACACTGGTGCAGAGTAAACTCAACCTTTCTAGTTTCTTAACCATTTTAACAATGCCTGTCCTGTCCTTAATGTCTATTCTGGTCAACTTCTCTGCTCTCTTAAAACCCACACAGATTTACACCCTTCCTCAGAGGCAGCCAAAGATGCAAAACAGCTAGCAGGCTGCCAAGCCACATTGAAAAGAGGGATGGAGGGACAGAGGTTTTCCACTGTTCAAAATGCGGGGGGGGGGGGTTTCACCTCAGGTGCCAAAATAATTTGGTCAGCATAGAGAGTTGTGCACACTGAGAAGAAAGATAAGGGAGGGAGGGATAACTCTGCGACCTCTGTCTCATGTTTCTTGTATGAAATTTGACAAAAGCACTAGGAATGACATCACGTGCTACTGCACTAAGCTAGAGATCAATCTTTGGGTTTTGTTTCTTTTTCTTTTTTTAAAGTGAATACTGGTATTGGGGATAAGTCTGCAGACCTTTTAGCAAAGTCAATAAGTAGCAATTTGCTGCTTTTTCTTGACCCCCTCCCTCCCAAATTGCAGCTTGAGGTTGCTTTGGCTACATATTAGGGAATTTTTGGGCCTTACCTGGGAGCAGTTTTCGTCTTGCCATAGCTGCTGCTCTATGGCTTCCATATTCCACAAAAGCAAACCCCCGGTTTTTTGCTTTATCAGCTGCACTGGGGTACACAATGACATCAACCACACCCTCCGTCACTTTCCGCATTTCGGCTAAAATTTCTTCCCTTTTCTTGGCTTTTGGAATTCCTCCTACGAATAAGCGGCAGTTGTCCACACTGGCACAAACACCAAGTAACCGACCGTCCCTATGTGAAAAAGGAGAATTTCATTGATGGGATGAAACTCCTTGAGAAATCTTGGCTGGGAATATGATTTAGAACCCACATTGCTTGTGATTGGTGTGAACAACTAGAATAACCAGTAAATGTCTATGGAGATTTGTGTTTTTTTCCAAAAGGCAACTGGACTTTTTTTTTGGTGTGTGTGTATTTTTGAAAATGTTTTGCTTCTTATCCAAGAAACTTCTTCAGTTCTGAACTGAACTTCAATTCTAGCACTGAAAAAGTTTCTGGGATGAGAAGTGAAATGTTTTAAAGAAAAAAAAACCCAAGAAAGTCCAGTTACCTTTTGGAAAAAGCCCCTTTGGGACAAGTGATCAATAAATTGCTAAATGTTTCATTAACAATACAATGCAGTTTTTGTGGGAGAAATGACTATTTTAGCTCTAGCCTAATGAAAACTTATTCACACAAATGGATAAATGGTAAGGGAAAGTTTTACAGAGAAGCTTATTTTGCTCCTCCTTTGTTAAATTAAGGGTATTTCTAGAATGATGTTTCATAGTGCCATCGCTAGGAATCATCTAGGAGCATAATTACAACATCTTCTCTTTAAATATATTTCTTGTGTAAATTTTAAAAAAGGGTGGAATTAATGGTAGGTAAGATCTGTCTAAAATTATTAAAATTAGGTAGGCAACAAAATGTTAACTGCTAGAGTATGAAAAAAGACTTCACTTTAAGGTCAATCGCTAACCTTTGATTTCTCAAATTCTCTTTCTCACAAATATCAGCTCTTCCAGCACATGCATATCGTTTTCTGTAGACTTCAGGACTTGATGTGGAGATTTTCAATTATTGATCCTTGCTGTAAATTTGTTTATTTGTATATTGTTTTAGAAATGAAGATAACAGGTGACTTTGCTAATAATACTGATTTTAGACTTCCGGTGGTGACAGGCTGCATCGCATGGCGGCTTTTGTTAGCCGCCCGCCTGGGAGCGCGTCAAAGCCTGAAGAGACAGCGTTTGTTAGCTGTCTCTCGGCTCGGAACCTCGTCCCTCGGGCAAAGAGGGGGGGGTGAGTAAGTCCGGATAGGGCTCGAGCTTCCTCTCACCCCGGTTTTGTTATAATCGGGGTTGAGAGATGCTAGCTCGCCCGGAGTCTGGACGGTCTCCGCGCCCTATGGCACCTTCGCTCCTCTTTTGGAGCGAAGCCAGATGCAGCTCCCACCTCTGCTGTTGGAAGGTATTTGGACTTAAATTTTAAGCAGACGGAACTAAACAGGAGGTTCGGATTTACAGTGGATTGTTTCTGACTTTGACTCTGAAATATACTAACATCTTCTTTATTTTGTGGTGATTTAAAGTGAGAGAAAATGGCTGCGGACTTGCCGTTTCTCTGGAATACTTTCGTTTGTTTTTTTTT